TTTCCCCCCCCCCCCCCTCCGGGACCTGAAGGGAAAGGTTTAATGCCTACCTTGGTATAATCAGCCTTAGGGACCAATGACAGCCCATCAGTGAGGTTATCACAGATACCCAACATAGACGCGCCAGGGTCTGCCTGGCAAGACGTCTTCAGATCTGTCAAATTTTGGCGCGTCACGTTCAGCTGATGGCGCAGGGAGTCACCCAGGTCTTGCAACTCGTTGACTGTTTCATTGATGTTGTCTAACAGGATGTTGACTTTGACCATCGCTAAAATATCAATACGCAACGAGATTAGTCGATCAACTGACAAGACAAGCAAATATAAGGGGTGCTTGAGTCAAGTATGAAACCAGTTTATCGTTTTTCAGTTGCTTGAGTGCCATCGAAGTTTATAGTGCCTTTGACCTTTATTTTTTAATTTTTTGAAAGAAAAAAACGTGTTGAAAAAATTTTCGATTTTGACGCTTCTTTTCGAGCTGTCACAATTTCAACATTCGGCACCGTAATGGAGGTCAACACATGCGCAGGCAGTTTCGTCACATTCATTTGCAGCGTTGCGCGCATAAAATACTTTTATATCTACTTACTTTTACCCATGTTTATGATGGATTCCAGTAAAGGACGAACGTACTTTCTGGCTTCAATCATCACTGGTTCAGCAACAAGTTGAGATATATCTATTGAAAAGAGAACGAAGCGAACAATATATCTTGATAAGATGCTCTAGAGTAAAGAACAATTCCTTGTAAATGCTCGCAAGTTAGTAGTATATCTGTTGCGGGAATAAAGTCGCAAAACTAAATCAACAGGTTAATAGTATTTTTCTTTTAAAAGTCTGATTGTGATGACCAAAATTTTGGACGCAGGACATCTTTATAATTAAAAATAGTGAGTGAAGAAAATCACGCAACTACACTCTCACGTGGAGTACGTTAGAAAAATCTAACAAAAACACGCGTGTCTGCTGAAGGAAGTAGAACAATTTGAAACTTCGTTGACTAAGTCGATATTCAATTGACAATACTTTTCTTCGACTTGCAATACATGATAAATGGTGAGAGAAAAGATGTAGATGTCATATATTTTTAATATGCTGATCATGAAGGGAGTGCCGGATTGCTCAGTCTTCTGTGCCAAAGGCTCATGGCTAAAGCACTCAACGCTAGTTAGAATTCAAATTCAGGAGTTGTCGTTTTTGCAGTGGTAAGAAAACTGGAGAACCTGGAGAAAATCCTTGTGATGGGTGATTAAGGGGAGGGACCCATGAACACAGCAGGGAGGGACGGAGAATTAGCAGCTTACATCACCTGCGTTACCAAAATATTAGTTTTTAATAAAAAAAATTAATAATTGACTTCCGTAAAGCAAAATGAAAGCTGACCCGCGCGTAAGCGCGGTTCTCTATTATTAACTCACTATTTAAATCTTGCACTACTAATGAAGTGGTGAACTTCATGTCAGATCCTGCTACAACCTCGAGTTGCTAAAAAATAAGAAAGAAAGGGGGTAATTAGTCTCCCCCACAACCGCTTTCAGTGTCGTCACGCAACGCTTTCTCCCCTTGCGTGACGACATTGAAAGCGGCTGTGGGGGAGACTAGGGGGTAATTAGATCTATCCAGTGATCTAAAACTGATTGACTAAAATCCCGGGGGAGGGGGGGTACTTCCCTGTATTTGCTATACGGGTATGTGCCGCCCTATAGGGTAGGGTTTTTCAGCTTTTGGGTCTGGGGTAGGTTATCATTTTTTGACATTTTGTCTGGGATAGGGTATCATTTTTGTCTGGGACAGGGTTACGGCACAAAAACAATAAAAACGCTAGTAAATATTGATTGCAATCTATTGACTAGCCGTGTTTAGTCTGGGATAAGGTGTACAATTCTTAGTTTTAGTCTGGGGTAGGGTTTGTAAAATCAAAATTTTAGGTCTGGGATAGGGTCAGGATTTTGAGGTCCTGGCAGCACACCCCTACCCAAGTTGGGGTGGTAGTATCCCCCCCCCCTTCCCCGGGACTAAAATGTTGGACATCCTTTCTTGATAAGAAGTGGAAGAGGCATACTTCTAGGAACTTATATTTATACCATATATATTATATTATATTATATGTCGCAGACACTTTATACATTAGTTGACATTAAGATTGGATCACGCAGTGATCACTTGCTGAGTGTGTGTGGGCACGTGAGAGTGATATACCTGGACAGATCAGTTCGGAATTGTTTTTTTTTTTTTGTGTAGTAGTTTTATCACTTAGTAAAACCATGTGATGTAAAAGTAAGTTGACACTACGTTACAGTAATAAACGCCATGATCACCCTCAACATTATATTATATATTATATTATATATATTTGGGGATAACAACAATATGACATGCCGCCTAGTGTAATAACGAAACAGTGCAATCACCCCGCCCACCTCCCCATCCACCATAATAAGGAAAACTGAGATCTGAGCTCTGCTATCTACCTGTATGGTATTGTTTCTATAGGCTATGATGTCATCAATGGAGTCTTGGAGAACAGAGCCAAGTAATGGTACACTTGTTCCTAATCTGTCATTGGATAAGAAGATACAGGAACTGCCAATGCTGTGAAACAAATATTGCATTAGTTAAATAGGAGGTTATCACACAGCAGCGGTGTAAAGAGAGTCCTTGAACTGATGGAAGGGACAAGCTAGAATAGAATGTCAAATGTATCCTATGAAAGGATAGAGGGGTATTCTTTACCACAATTTGGCTATTGTCTAAGGTTAGAATGTATGGGGTAGGGGCAGTTTTTACCACTTTTATCCCTTTATCAGGGACTGTAGAGCATACTTTTGAGTAGGAATGTCAATCAGGGAAGTCCAGTGCTGCAGTTTTTAGGGACAATTGCAACATGTTCATTGAACTAATTAAGTAATGTAAAAGCCTAGGCCAACTCATAACAGAAAATCATTAACTTTTGCTAGAAATATGTGTGTGGGGGGAGGGGGTGGGGGTGGTGGTGGTGATGTGGGGAGGGGAGTGGCTGAGCTCCCCCAAGCCTCACCCCTCTGCTTATTGTTAATCCCGACTTTGTGCAATCTATCTGTTAAACATATTAGTAACTAAAGATAATCAAGCTTTTTTAATAAAAGAAAGCCAAACGCCAGACATCTGGCAGAAATGTGGTTATTATTCTGGGTGAGATATCTAGAGGTATGACATTAGCATAGTTTTGAGGTTTTTATTTCACAAATGTTTCCTCCGTTTCCTTATAAATATTAAATATTTATAAGCCCATACTTACAGAATAAAGACACTACAAAGAAAGATAAGAATTGATAATGTCTGTCTCTGCTTTACAGGGCTAAATTCCATATTCTCCTCTTCCAGGTTGCCTCCACATTTTCCACAACATCGGCAGAAGAAAAATATTAGGCCTGTCATCGGCAACATGACACATCCAAGCAAGGATATGGAAGCAAGTATGAAGAAGGGAATTTCATACTTGATGATCTGTGGTTGAATACACAATTGAAATATGAGTTTATTATTATGATTATTGCTGCATTTATCATCTTAATTTGGAGATTTTTAAGTTTAAATCTAAATTCAATAATTTTAGCTATCCATATTTTTTGTTTTTTCATTCCTTTCCAATTTTTCTTTACTCCTTTTCTTTCATTTTGTTCTTTCTTTTCCTTACTTTGTCATAGGTATCATCAGAGATCTTTCCATCTTTCAAGACACCTTTGATGACATCTGGTGAAAGAGAAAAATATACTTGGAGTTAAATAATTAATACTTATACAGTTATTAGAACAAAATAGGAGGAATTTCACCCTCACTTCTCTTTCACTTCTTCAAATCACTTTTGATATTTTATTAGAAAAACTTCCAAAATTAAAAAAAAAATCATAAACCACAAGCTCAACAGAGTTAATAGTAAGATACAGAACCATGTTTTGTTAATTGGTCAACTAAAATATGACATAAAATTGTGTGAATAAATATTCAATGGGATGAGAGTATGCAAATTTTTTTTTTTCACTTCGTTTTAAACCAAAAACAGCCGCACAAAAAAGCATGTTTTTAAGTACTATTTAAGAAACACAAAGCAACGATTTGATATGCTTTACAACTGCCAATAAAAACCTCAAAAATAACAACGACACAGCATGGTCGTTGGCCACAAACCAACACAAACTGCTGGTTAGTGAAGCTGTAACCTTCTGCGAGCAGAGTTGAATTTCACTCACTCTCTTTCTCCATCTTTTTCTTTCTAATGAATTGAAGAGCCCGTAAAAAATGACAAAAACTATCAATTGAAAAAAGGAAAAAAAGGCAAAAACCATGGTATAATAGAATTTTAGATACAGATTAATAAAAAAAAGTTGTCCCGTCTGCAATTTCGTCGACTCCCAGTCCTGCGCTAGGAAAAACGTTTTCAAACGCGAACTTAAAATTTTGTAGGAACAACAGCTATAGCACTAGCAAACGACTGTCCTTGTAGCAAGTGATGAGTGACTGAACGATTACTGGTAAAGTGATTATCCGATTAACTTACAATGAATTCATTTTTGGTCTAAAAACACGTGCTTCTCGATATCCATATTGTAAACTAATGTTAGACTACATGTCGCTATAGGAGTATTTAAAGTGATAAATTTAACTGATTTTAGTAGCCAAATGAAAACAGTCTTAAGCAACCTCTTATAAACGACCAAAAATAGGATCTAGCCGGTAATTATATCTTCAGCTGGTTTAACTTGTACATTTTAAGAGTCAGACGGGCTGTTTCGGCTTGGATGTATTGTTTTTACGCCAGGTACCATGAAGCGAGCTATCTTCTTACAACAAGCCTGGTTTTAAAAATAAACTTTGAAATCCATATTCTAATCTTGTATTGACATAACTACATCATAAAGAAAACAGAAAGAAATAAGTCTTATCTCTATTCTAAAACATCGATCTTTTTAAAAAAAACTTTACCGTATGGAGGATCTTCTCTCAAAGCGAGAGAAAATTTCCTGGCGATCTCTTCGTAGCTTGAAAGCATCCATTGCGATGGCGGTATTTCTGTCCTATAAGGTATTCTTTCATATAACGGGAGAAACTCAATAGTTTTTCCATTCAGTCTTGGCTCATTCACAGAACATGCGGTGAACTCAACCAAGGTTTGACAGTACAATACAAACACAACGACCTTCAAAGATTTGGCTGCCCCGAAGTTCATGTTCGGAGGTCGAGTGCCGAGGAAAATAGATCTCTGACATCCCCTCTCTAGATAATATCCATCATCTTAGGTCTCTGAGGATCTCGAGACGTCAGTATTATCCTAGGAAGCTATATTGGCAGCATTTACTCCTTCAAGCTGCTTTTAAATGGAGATTTGCTGATTTTTTTTTTTTCGTTCATTTTAATGTGATGTCAACAATAACATCATGACGTAATTTTTCACGCTCCGCTGCACTGTGGGTAACTTCGCGCGGGGTGCAACTATTACGCGCCAATACTGTTTGATCTTTCCAAAAAATTAGCCATCCTTAAAATTCAATAAATCTCGTAACAACACTCATTGAAAGAGTTTAGAAAATCCTTTTGAACGCCTCCACGCTAAATAATTTATGATGGGATGCTAAAAAAAGTTCGTTAGAGCCAAGTTACAGGTACCTTTGACACCGTTCAAAAATTGACCTGCTCGGACTTATCGCCTGAGTAAACTTCAACAGCGATATTTTTACCTTTAAAGTAATATAGAAAATAGTAATAAAAGAGAAAAAGATATATAAGAATTATATGAATATTTTATTATTTGATTGATATGCCCTCGAGAAATCCGCAGAAGCTGAGACGTCCTATGAACTTCGGTTCTAATATTTTGCCCAGTCTCTGAGCATAAGAGGTACACCCGCATATTCTTCCATCCGCTTCTGTCAAAGGAAAAAGCTGACTTATATCGAGGCTAAACCTGTGTAAATGAGTCTGTGGCCTTTAAAACAGCGGTATTCATCGAGTGCGAAACTGTGGTGTATTCCGAGTTGGTATGGCTCTTCTTCACTAGCCACCGACTTCAGTCCCGGACTGAAATCATCCCTCCCTTTCTCCACTTCGGCTCCCCAAATCAGGTCACACGCAAGAGTATTGAGACAACATACCCATAAAAAGGGAGCTACAATCTTGGACAAAAATAGTTGAGAATTTTTCATCCAATCATGAAATAATAATCTTTAAAAAATGTTTCATTGTCCGTACTCCCTGCCCTCCAGAACAATGTTGGTCCCAGTAGGTAGAGCAGCCCTGTCTCCCTGGAAACAACATTGTTTAGAGGGGAGGGAGTCGTTTTAAGGGGAATTTTTCATGTTTCACATGAAGATACCATGAGAACTAGGAATTTTCTCAACATTTTTGTCCACAAGATTTTAGGTTCGAGGCGCCGTAGCAATGAATTAATCCCGACGTGTCAGGTAATACAGGTTATGTCTTACAAGTATAGTAGGGGAGCTAAGGCTTTTTAGCTGAATTCACTTCCTTAAGACCTTTTTTTGCTAATATCTAGTAATGAATCTTGTTTTTCTTTAATGAGTTTTTATAATTAAACGAAACAGATGTTTGGTCTGTTGACATAATTAGCGAATATGCAGCTATTTTCGGTATCCGGCTTCGTGAGGGTTCTATTCCGAGTTTAATTCTTTTTTTGTCTTACATAAATTCGAAAGTTTTCTAAGGAAAAGAAAAGAAATCATGAATGCGAAAATTATCCCAGCCTCAACAAAGCATGCCCCCGCTGGCCACCGATCCAATATTGACACTTGTTTATTTAGCCGAAAAGGCCTTGACATTTTCCTGACCATTCGCGTTCAACAACAACCAATCAAAATGTTTAAATATCTTGTTTGATGAAATGAAAGAATGTGTAACGTCTGAAATGGTTGGATGTTACATCTTATTGGCTCTATAGATTTGACAGTTGCTACCTACTCTAACGGATGTGAAAAACTGGCCGATAGATGATCTGAGTGTCAGACCAACACACCTCGAAAAAATCTTATGGTAGGGCAGTTTTCTTGGTTAGTTCGTGTTACTCTGGCAAGTGTTTAATTTTTTCTTTCGAGACAGGTAGGGAACAGAAAGAAAATGTAAGTAAGCTTAATTTTTTGAACTTAAGACCAGGTCTTGGTTTAAGCTTGGCTTCAGCTTAACTTTGGCGTCACTAAAGACACTAAACCTAAAACATTATCTTTTTTCCGGCTACTATTCAGAATTTAAAAAGCAAAATTCAGAGAATTGAGCTTCCAGAAAACGATATACCATTTTTGTTTAAATTCTGTGCGTTTTTGTTGTTTGCTCAGTCTTCAGAATAAATTTTAAAAGTTCAAGTATGAGCCAACAAGTGATCCCGCAGATGCTATAATAACAGCTGCTCTGAATTTCATTTATTTATATTACTGGCTATATAAATTGCATTTTTGTTTTCATCGAAGATTATATCTTTACCAACATTTCTTATATACCTTTCAAAAACGTTTCGTCCACACGTAGCGCAATTTTCGAATAATTACAGTATTATAGTACTTCGTCCAGACGTATCCGTTTTCGAAAAGTTACGATTCAATGCCAATCTTCGAACCCTTTTTGAATATGGTTTTTTAACTTAAAAAAGAAGCTGTTTATTTGTTCAATTTAGCTGAGTGAAATGGAAAATTACTGACGATTTTTTTTTTTTTTTGTTTGTATAATACGTAAATGCAAATATTTCATGCAATGCCTGGCATAAAATTCGTACATGCGAAATAAATACTTGACATATATATTATTTATAAATTATAACAGTATTTAAAATTTGCACCTTGAATGAGTCTATATTAGTGCTACCGTACCGTTGGGCAGGATAAGTGGAAAACTTGTGTATACTTTCCTATGTTCAAGGTACGCGTTAACACTTTTGTGTAATCGGGATTGAATTCCATATTACTTCTTATATGATAACACGCGCGGGAGAACTTGTCTCACAACATAAAAAAAATGTACTATAGCACTTACACGTAGTGCAAGGTCCTGCGGTGAACATGGCTCCATGCAATTTGTGTCGCAACGCCGTTGCGAGACAAGTTGCAGAGAATATTGTTCAGTGCCATCGCACGTATACAAACGGGATAATTGTTTCAGTGAAAGAGAGAAATGAACTTGATGTGAGTGCGAAAGATCCCTTCAAGAAAGGTCGACTGAGAGCCATGCAATGCCATGTAATGTGGGTACTACTAATTTTTCGGCCTAATATATAAGTTAACTGTAGCAATTTTACGAGCGCTAGCCATAATATTAGACAAAACAATGAAATATCGGTTAACTTCTACTACTAATTTTAGGTTTTTCTCAGTTAAACTATGTTTTCAGTCAATTGTCAGTTAACTACTCACCCCATTGGCACCCTCAAGAGGAAGGAGGGAAGGAAGGAGGGAAGGAAGGAAGGAAGGAAG